AAGGTCAAACCGAATATATATTTTTAAACAAGTCACAGTGTTTGAGTAACCCTAAAAAAATATGTTTTAGTCACTCATAACAAATTAACAAAAGCTAGTTTAGGGTTTTTGTTATCTTCAAAAACAAGTCACGGTGTTTGAATAGCCCTAAACAAAATACAACGTTACAATATAAATAGCAAAATGAAGTAATCTACAAATAGAATAGAGACGGTTAATTACAAAAGGAAACCATAGTTTGTTTTCATCAACAGATCAACTAAATGCATAATCCATATTCGGTATAAATAAGAGCAAAGTAGATCATTTTTTTTTTCCACACAAAACAAAGCTTAAACACCATATACAAATCTAACAAGAAGATTAAAAATGGCCAGTGTGAAAGTTATTTCATTTGCTTTGCTTCTTGTCCTCTTCTTCACCGTTGGTACGTTATCTTTGTTATAAAAATTTGCACATTCTAATCTTCTTTCTTTTTGTATTGTCTATAAAAATTTGTTTTGTTAAACATGTACTTTATCATTAGTGACTGAAAAATGAAAAGGAGAACAAGACAAAAGACATGCAATTTTAATATTTTGGTGTTGTGTTTTATTTTGGCAGATGTTGAAGGATATATTGTAGAAAGTAGTAATTCGTTGTGTTGCAACACTCACCCGAAATTTGGAAAGTGTAACCCAAGCCATGACACAGAGAGATGCAACACTTGGTGTCTTAATGGATGCGACAATGGCAGAGGCGGTTCCTGCAAACCTCTTTCTTATGGAGCACACCAATGCCACTGTTTCTGTTAAGTCACAAAATGATGAAGAAATATGCCACTGATTTAATTATGTCTATGTTGTGGTATTTGCGCATTTGTTTGATCATGAATTTATGGCAAAATATACTAATTCCCCCTCAAAATGTCCATATCTCTTTAGATAGACCCGTAAAACTATTCGCGTACTACTTCCTCCAGAACTAATATTAGATTCGTATTTCCCCCTGATTCTGGGTTTGGTCGGTTAATAACAAAACCGATCCTAAACCAACAATTGCGGCTTGTATACCGAAATCGAGACCCGACAAGATAAAAAACTGATCCGAACCCATTTTCGTTTACCCAGAAACAAAAATCCCCAAATCTCCAAACTTTGAAGACCCTAATTCTTCAAGTTTGAGAATAAAAAATAATTTTTTTTTAACGAAACAGTGTGGTTTTGAAGAAGGAAGCATACGATAGAGATACACTGGACACGTCTAGTTGCTCGCAACCACAAACGAAAACGAACAAAATATTCTTTCTCTTCTCTTCGCTTGCGACTCCATTGGAGAAGAAGAAGATTATGCTTCTCTTGCAACCTCCACTGGTTTCAACTCGATTTCATTCCCTCTACTTCATCACTCGCCGTCCCTTCCCCTTCGTCCGACCACCCATTTCCGCCACCGCCTTCTCTGCTTTCCCATCATCATCATCATCATCTCCGTCTTCAATCTCCTCCTGGAATAATTTGGATTCAAGGGAAGAGGAAGAAGACGACGATGAATCTCTTCCCTCCCGTCGTTACGACTTCTCTCCGCTTCTACAATATCTCTCCAGATTCGGATCCATCGAGTTAGTCTTAGAGGAATCGGACTCTGTTACTTCGCCGAAATCTCTTGACCCGGCGGAATTTCACCTCGCAGAGTCATACAAGGCGGTACCAGCACCGTACTGGCACTCGTTACTAAAATCGTTATACTAAAATAGTTAACTTACGCGCTCGTCTCATGGCTTCAAAAACACAACCTCTGCTTCTCATACGAGCTTCTCTACTCTATTATCATCCACGCTCTTGGTCTTTCCGAGAAGCTTTACGAAGCTTTCCTTCTTTCTCAGAAACATACCTTAACACCTTTGACTTACAATGCATTGATTGGTGCTTGTGCTCGAAATATGACATTGAGAAAGCTCTTCATTTAATCTCTAGGATGCGTCAAGATGGTTACCAATCCGATTTTGTTAACTATAGCTTGGTTATTCAGTCAATTACGGTTTACTCTTTATAATCGGTCATCAACGACAAACCAACGGTTTAGTTTTCTAAAACAGATACTTGGTCTATAGTAAACCAACTTTTAACCGATTTGGGATGAAATAAGCGTCTCATATTCATTTTGGGTGGAGATAAACGTTTAATTTTATTCCGTGGGGAAATACGAGTCTAATATTAGTTCTGGGGGGAAGTAGTACGCGAATAGTTTTTCAGGTCTATCTAAAGACATATGGATATTTTGAGAGGGAATTTCCCGAATTTATGTTGTTTGTATGAATAACACTTGACTTAATAATAAAAATAAAGAGCTTAAAAAGCTTAACTTATTTTATGTTTTTATTTGTTTTCTCAAACCAATAACGATATAAATATCAAAACTACACTAATAGTCAGTAGCTTGTCTTAAAAAAAAATGAGGACGAAATCGAATGATATTTTGNAAAGGGTCATATTACATTCTATGATTTCCAACATAGATAAATATATGGATTTATGATCGCATAATCAAATGGTTTTAGTCCATAACCTCTTAACCATTAACAAAACCGACACTACATCTAACTTATTTCTTAATGCACACACAAAGCAGTAATCTTAAGAACAATAAGCAACCGTCCCTACTGTTTTTTGTGACTCTATAAAAAGTTATCATAATTCCTTTTTTATTGGCATACATATTATATTTGGTTTTAGAACCAAAATATAGTAAAGGCAAAAGCATTTTAGTCATAAATTACAATCAATTAACCCTTCTTTAAATTTCATAATTTATTTTCAAGTTGCAAAATTTCCTTTGAAATGTCATTTTAAAAAAAGTAAATATGCTACATATAAAATGCTTACGTAGAGATCATATTTGCGAAAATGTAAAGCAACACGCAGAGTTCTGCATCTATGGCGAGGTGATAGCACTGTAGCAAATTTTGGAGGTTTCTCGTTTTTGGTCCGGCAGCAAATTTTGGGGGTTTCTCGATTTTGGTCCGGCAACGGCGGTTTCCAGACGTGTGCCGAATCCGTGTTTGTAGTCTTAGATTTCTTTTCTTTGTGTTGTGATTTTCAGATTTCATGGGGGATTGGTTGAGATTAGATCTGTTTCTTTTAGTTTGGATTTCGTTGGGTTGGTGATGGACTTGGATCTGGTAGAGATCCGGTTGGTGGGTTTGTTTTCTCCGGTGCTGGTCTTTGTTGGGAGGGGTTCGGTTGGTCAGGTTTTGTCGGGCTCGCGACTCCTCTCTTTTGACTTCCGCTTGGAGTTGATGTCACCTGTGTCGATTGCTTCTCTTCGTAGTTTAGGTGGCGGCAAGGGGCTTGTTGCTGGATTGAGATATGAGAACTCAGTGTGGTCAGTTTGTTGAGCTGGTGGTTATAGCCAGCATTGCTTTCTCCTTGTTGTCGATGGGTGGAATCTTTGTTGTTGGACTGGGTTCGTGGTTTAGGCCCTTTCGTATGGATCCTATGTTCGATGCGGGTTTCCTTCTTTGTGATCTTGAAGGACATTTCTGGTTGATCTCATCCCTTTGGGCCGACCTTCTTGTTGGCTCTGTTTTACTTGTGTGAGTTAGGGTTCTTTTGGACGAGGAGATGTGCTTTTTGTTGGTCCCAGACGTTTGTTTGTGGTCTGTGTTTTTGGTTGGTTACAGAGGTTGGTTTGGTGTTCTCGTTTAGACTCGGTGGTCAGGTTATACTTGCCTTGGCGTCGCTGTCTCCTCTGTTTCCCGGGTTCTATGGTAAGACTACTCGACGTTAATTGGCTCTTTGTTCTGCTGCCTTTATCTCCCTGCGTTCTTTGCCGCCTCTTCTGTCTGCTGGTTAAGTTAGTCTTAGATCCGCGTTATGGTTCTCCTGGTGTATGGACGTGCCTCAAGGTTTAGGTTTTGTTCTGATGTTATGTTTGTTGGCTCAGAATTGGCTCTTCGTGCTACTTGGTTTAGTGTGTGGGTGTGCTTTTGGCTTCGTCGCTTGAGCTTGGGTTTAACTCTTTGCTTTCCTCTTTAATCAAATACCCTATCTTCTTTGTTTTAGTTTTTATGTATCCTGATGACAAAATTTGTTTTTTTGAAAATCCTTGTTTCCTTAGGCTTTGATGTTGTTTGTATCTTGCGTGTTTGGACTATCTTCGACCATTATATATAACACTAGATGATAAAAAAAAAAAAAGAGATCATATTTGCGATTAGAATAATAAATCCAAGAAAATTGAGTGCTTTAGGTTGACTTTTGGTCAACTCTCAAAACCGCGTCTGCGAAAACGCTCGTTTCGAAACTCAATTTTCCAAAACTGCAAAAAGCCAAACACAGCCTTCAGGTGCCAAAAACGGGGTTTTAGAGAAAAAACAAAATCACAGTGCGAAAAGGGTTTTTGGTCTTTGATCGTCTTCTCTAATGGCCTTTTCGAGAATCGCTCTTCTTCACCAGCGATTCTCTAGACAACAACGCCAATTCCAAAGACCATTCACTACGAAGCTTGACAACAGCAGATTTCTTCATCCCAATCAATCCAAACTTGCCCAAAACCTAATCACGATCTTCACAAGACAACATTTTTCACCAGAAGACCCTGAGTTACTGAGACTCACTCCAGAGCTCAACACTAAGGTAGTTGAAACCGTCTTGAATGGATTCAAAAGGTGGGGGTTGGCTTATCTGTTCTTCAATTGGGCTTCGAAACAGGAAGGTTATAGAAACGATATGTATGCTTACAATGCCATGGCTTCTATCCTATCACGTGCTCGACAAAATGCCTCACTGAAAGCTTTGGTCGGGGATGTTCTGAGTTCTCGCTGTTTGATGTCTCCTGGAGCGTTAGGGTTTTTCATTAGGTGTCTGGGTAATGCTGGGCTGGTGGAAGAAGCAAGTTTTCTTTTTGATCGAGTTAGAGAGATGGGTCTTTGTGTTCCGAATGCTTATACTTATAACTGTTTGTTAGAAGCGATTTCTAAGTCGAATTCTAGCTCGGTTGATTTGGTAGAGGCTAAGTTGGAGGAGATGAGGAATTGCGGGTTTCAATTCGATAAGTTTACTCTTACACCAGTTTTTCAGGTTTACTGTAGCACCGGGAAGGCTGATAGAGCGGTTAGTGTTTTCAATGAGATTCTTAGTCGAGGTTGGCTTGATGAACATATTTCAACGATCTTGATTGTATCATTTTGTAAATGGGGTCAGGTGGATAAAGCTTTTGACTTGATTGAGATGCTCTTAGAACGCCATATAAGATTGAACTATAAGACATATTGTGTTTTGATTCATGGGTTCGTAAAGGAGTCTCGGGTTGATAAAGCACTTCAGTTGTTTGAGAAAATGCGTCGGATGGGTATGAAGGCTGATATTGCGTTGTATGATGTGTTGATAGGAGGACTTTGCAAGCATAAAGATCTTGAGATGGCTTTGAGTTTGTATTTGGAGATCAAAAGGTCAGGAATTCCACCTGATAGAGGAATACTTGGAAAGCTAATACGTTCATTTTCTGAAGAAAGTGAATTAAGTCGGATAACAGAAGTGATAGTTGAAGATATAGACACAAAATCTGTGATGCTTCTTTACAAATCATTGTTGGAAGGGTTTATTAGGAATGATTTGCTGCACGATGCTTACAAATTTATTCAGAACCTCATGGGAAATCATCAGTCGGATGGTGTATCTGAGATTATTAAGCTTCTAAAGGATTATAATAAAGCAATTCTCCCAGATTCTGATTCTGTTAGCATTGTGATTGATTGCTTAGTCAAAGCTAGTAAGGTCGATATGGCAGTGACCTTGTTACATGATACTGTCCAGAACGGCCTTACTCCAGGTCTTATGATGTACAACAACATAATTGAGGGAATGTGTAAAGAAAAAAGGTTGGAAGAAAGCTTGAAACTCTTGAGGGAAATGAAGGACGCCGGAGTTGAACCAAGTCAATTCACGCTTAATTGTATCTATGGTTGCTTGGCTGAACGATGCGATGTTGCAGGAGCGCTCGACCTGCTGAAAAAGATGCGTTTTTATGGATTTGAGCCATGGATAAAGCATTCGACCTTCCTTGTAAAAAAACTGTGTGAGAATGGGAGGGCTGTTGATGCTTGCAAATACCTCGATGATGTGGTTGGAGAAGGCTTCCTTGGTCACATGGTTGCCTATACTGCTGCGATTGATGGTCTAATTAAAAATGATGGAGTAGATAGAGGTTTAGAGTTATTCCGAGACATATGTGCCAAAGGCCATTCCCCTGATGTGATTGCATATAATGTATTGATAAAGGCTCTCTGTAAAGCATATAGAACTACGGAAGCTGATAACCTGTTTAACGAAATGGTATCAAAGGGACTAAAACCCTCTGTTGCTACTTATAACAGTATGATAGATGGATGGTGCAAGGAGGGTGAGATTGATCGGGCCATGTCTTGTATTGCGAGGATGTATGAGGATGAGAAAGACCCTGATGTTATTACTTACACGAGCTTAATCCATGGGCTATGCGCAAGTGGAAGACCTAGTGAAGCGATCTCTCATTGGAATGAAATGAAGAGTAAACATTACTGTCCAAATAGAATTACTTTCATGGCACTTATTCAGGGTCTTTGCAAATGTGGCAGGTCTAGTGAAGCCTTAGTTTATTTTCGTGAGATGGAAGAAAAGGAAATGGAGCCTGATTCAGCTGTTTACTTATCGCTTGTTAGCTCTTTTCTGTCAAGTGAAAACATCAGTGCAGGATTTGGGATATTCAGAGAGATGGTTCATACAGGAAGATTTCCTGTGTCATTAGATAAGAACTATCTGCTTGCTGTTGATGCTACAAATAAGTTTGTGGAAGACTTTAGGACATCATGTTATCTTCCAGGTCTAATAAAGGACGGCAGATTTCCAATTGTAGCTGCCGTGATTAGAAAATGAGGCAAACATTTGGAATTGAAACAGAGGATACTTGCTGAGATTGGTTGCAGGGCTTTTCAGCTAATGATTTGAAACCGATAAGAAGCTGCCCCTTGTTGCTAATCTTGGTTTGATGCCATGGACCCAGCTCCTTCATACAAGGTATTGCTCTGGATTGAGATTTTCTTTTTCTGTCTTCTTAACGTTATGCGTATACATCTGAATTGAGAAATAGCTTCTATGGATATGTTTGGATCATTACTAGAAAGGCTAATGTTGATGTTACAATAACAGGCGCAGAGGTGGTGTGTACTAATCTGGATCAGAACTTCATCGACTCTTAAAACTATGACTTAAACGAAAGTTAGTAGGCCTAAACCTGTTATACAAACTTCTGATATTCAATACCGGTCCTCAACGAGTTAATCATGGCTCTGCGCAATGTTCAAGCTCAGAATAGTTGCATTTAGTTTGCGGATTGAAGATTAAATTCAAGATATTAACCTGAGATGCATACCAGGATTAGCCAGTTGGATAAGCAGGAAAAGCTTTGTGTCTATAAAATCCAGAGGTTAGCTTGCTGCTTTGTCTGTTTACTTGCTATATTCCTTACTAAATCTCTTTCAGACCATTTAGAAAGAACTAGGAATACACCATTCTGTTTATTCGTCTGTTAATATATGTGCTTCTTTGTAAAAGAGAATTGTGACCAAATCCAAAATAACAAAAAAAAGGGTTCGTTGTGTTCCATTTAAAAAATGTTTGGGTAATTTAAGAGGAAAAAAAGTCAAGGTGCATTTGTCCAAAGTTAGAAAACTCAGGGATTCATTTACAATTTACAAGTTGTTTTAAATCGCGTAGTAAACCGACTCCGACTCTGACTCCGACTCGATCCAAACGAAATCGAAATGTTTGAAATTCTTCAGCGACGAGTGTCAATGTAAAGAGGTGAATGTTGAAATCATCGTCGTCTCTCTTGACGAAATCGATTCTGCTTCACCGATGCAAATCAATGTCGGAGCTGAACAAAACACACGCCCTCCTGATCATACTCGGTCTCTCCGAGGAAGAACCTTTTGCTTCTCGAACTCTGGCTTTCTCTGCTCTGTCTTCCTCAGGCGACGTCGAATACGCTTACAGATTCTTGTCGAATCTGGCCAATCCTCCGAATTTCGGCTGGAATTACGTAATAAGAGGCTTCTCCAATAGCAGAACCCCCGAGAAAACGACCCGTGTCTATATCCAGATGTTGAGGACCGGGTTTTCACCGGATCATATGACTTATCCGTTTCTATTCAAATCGATCTCTCGTATCTCGAACAGAAAAGTCGGTGGGTGTTTGCATTCCTCCGTCGTGAAAACTGGGTTTGAGTGGGATTTGTTCATATGCAATTCTCTAATTCATATGTATGGTACGTTCAGAGACAGAGCTTCTGCGCGAAAGTTGTTCGATGAAATGCCTGTGAAGAATTTGGTCACTTGGAACTCCATTTTGGATGGGTATGCGAAGTGCGGGGATGTTGTTTCGGCAAGACAGGTTTTTGATGAAATGACTGAGAGAGATGTTGTGTCTTGGAGCTCTATGGTCGATGGGTATGTAAAAAGCGGTGAATATGACGAAGCTTTAGAGATTTTCGATCAGATGATGCAAATGGGTTCATCAAAGGCAAATGAAGTCACTATGGTCAGTGTCTTGTGCGCTTGTGCTCACTTGGGTGCGCTTAATCGAGGAAAGGCCGTACATCGCTATATACTCGATGAGCGTTTGCCCTTAACAGTTATATTGCAGACATCTCTTATCGATATGTATGCTAAATGTGGGTCGATAGGAGACGCTTGGGGCGTGTTTTGTGGAGCATCCGTTAAGGAAACGGATGTATTGATGTGGAATGCTATGATTGGAGGGCTTGCGAGTCACGGGTTCATAAGAGAGTCGCTCCAATTGTATCACAAAATGCAAGAATACAAGATTAAACCAGATGAGATAACATTCTTGAGCTTGCTTGCTGCTTGTTCCCATGGCGGATTAGTGAAAGAAGCATGGCATTTGTTTGCGAGTCTCAAGGAAAGCGGTGTGGAACCAAAGAGTGAGCATTATGCTTGTATGGTCGATGTGCTTTCCCGGGCTGGTCTAGTTAAAGACGCATATGATTTTATATCCCAAATGCCGATAAAAACGACAGGTTCAATGTTGGGTGCTTTGCTTAACGGGTGTATAAACCATAGAAAGTTGGAACTTGCGGAAACAGTTGGAAAGATGCTTATAGAGTTGCAACCGCACAATGATGGTCGATATGTCGGTCTAGCAAATGTTTATGCGATCAACAGGCAGTTTGGTGCAGCTCGGTCTATGAGAAAAGCAATGGAGAAAAAAGGTGTGAAGAAAGTCGCAGGGCACAGTATAGTTGATTTGAATGGAAAATCACATAGATTCATAGCTCATGACAAAACACATTTTGATTCCGAGCAGATCTATGGAGTGATACATCTGCTTGGAACTTGGATGGATCTCATTGTTCACAATGATGAAAGTGAAGACTATCATTGTGACCGTTCTTGATCATACATCTTACCAAAATTACCCATCCTTGCTAGGGAAGATATCATTATCAAACTGATCCAATTCCCACTCATGGTCGACTAGTTTAGAAGAATTCTCAAGTAAATTCGATTTATGTTAGGTCAAACATGTAAACAAAAATCGAATTTGGAAAAAATCGAATTCTCATTGTCAAATCTTTTTTGGTTATCATCACTCTTTTAATTTGGAAAAAAATATCAATTTAGCAAAACAACCCCAAAAGAGTGTACAGCCATCAATGGCGTGGAATTGGGG